CGGCCCGCGGGGAGCCCGCCCGCCGCAGCTGATGGTGTTCCGCAACGTGGGGCGGCCGCCGGAGGAGGAGGACGCGGAGGCGGCCCCGGAGCCGGGACCCTCGGAACTGCTGTGCCCCCGGCACCGCTGTGCGCTGGATCCCAAGGCCCTCCCTCCGGGCTTGGCGCTCGAGCGGACCTGGGGTCCGGTGTCCGGACTAGAGGCGCAGCTGGCGGCTTTAGGGCTCGGGCAGCCTGCGGGGCCGGGGGTTAAGACTGCCGGCGGAGGCTGCTGCCCGTGCCCGTGCCCCCCGCAGCCGCCGCCGCCGCAGCCCCCGCCGCCTGCTGCCGCCCCGCAGGCCGGGGAGGACCCCACGGAGACGAGCGACGCGCTGCTGGTCCTCGAAGGCTTGGAATCGGAGGCCGAGAGCCTGGAGACTAACAGCTGTTCGGAAGAGGAGCTCAGTAGCCCGGGCCGTGGAGGAGGAGGAGGAGGAGGAGGAGGAGGGGGTGGCCGGCTTCTGCTGCAGCCCCCGGGCCCCGAACTACCCCCGGTGCCCTTCCCGCTGCAAGACTTGGTCCCTCCAGGGCGCCTGAGCCGAGGGGAGCAGCAGCAGCAGCAGCAACTTCCCCCACCGCCGCCGCCTCCCGGGCCCCTCCGGCCCCTCGCGGGCCCTTCTCGAAAGGGCTCCTTCAAAATCCGCCTCAGTCGCCTGTTTCGCACGAAGAGCTGCAACGGCAGCTCGGGCAGTGGGGATGGGCCGGGCAAGAGGCCTTCTGGAGATCTGGCAGCCTCAGCTGCGAGCCTGACGGACATGGGAGGCTGTACGGGCCGGGAGCTGGATGCGGGGAGGTGAGATTGGCTGGGGCGGGGGGCAGGCAGGCGGCAAACTTGCATTTCTTATTTCGTGTCTCTCTTTTCCCCTACTGCTGCTAACACAATACTGTCACTTCTCAAGCTGTGGACTTCTGGAGAAGGCAGACACTTGGGACTAAAGGTGGTGACATCTCGTATTAGATCAGAGCTAATTGTGGAAACAGCTTTCACTCTTGGAGAGTTCACACTCGGTGACACTTCTCAGTGGGGTTAGCGTCTCTTGCTGGGAATGATTTGAAGCCCTGCCCCACCATTCCTGTACTGGCCCCACTTTTTAAGCTCCCCACCTCCACCCCCGGTGTCTGTCTACCATTACTAACACTACTGGGAAGTTGCTGGAAATATGTGGCCTTGGGGCCACAGAGCTAGTGTCAGTCACTTGCCTATTATTATCTTGGCCATCTTGCCTAGTCTCACTGCGCACCTGCCCTCACTCTCTTCACACGTATATGCATGCAAAATGGCCTGGGGAATCTGGCCAACAATCAGCTGGGCATCTCCATTCTTAATGTTCTTCTGGTGGTTCTTAGATGTTTGCTGTCTAAAGCGTGTGTGCTGACCACATTCCGAGAATAGCTTTATGTTTGCTCTCTCACTTTCACACAGATGTTGATAGTGCTCAGTGAGGTATACACACTGAATTCTAGGCCAATTAATAACAGTTCCAAACTTAGACTTTGAGGTCCCCCCACCCCACCCCGAATTTCTAAAAAGTGAATGGACTTTTGACATAAGAGCATAGTTTTGTAGTATCAGTTTAGAAAGCTGTTAGCTATTGCATCCACTAATGAGACTTACCTTGTGGTAGAACTGTGATTGTGAATTGTAGTTCTGACTCTTTTGGACTTGAATTGGTGGCTTTTGTTTTGAGACCAGGTTTTATTATGCTGATCAGGCTTGCTTTGAATCCACTGTATAGCCCAGACTGGTCTAGATCTCTTGTTCTTCCTATCTCATCTTCCTTAGTCCTGAGTCAGCCTTCCCGGTGCCAGGATTAGAGGCCTGTTGCCACCTGCCTGGCTGGAATTGGTCTTGGTGTGGTTTATATGATATGTTCTTGATACATACTGACAGTGACAAACCAGAGCCAAAAAGCAGATACATTGATAACTTTGCTGAGCACTAGAATCTCTTGGGGTTGGGGGGTTGGGGTAAAGGTAAGTATACCTGGGGCCCAATTAGAATTTTTTTTTATAATTTATTTTTATTTTATGTTCATTGGTGTCTTGCCTGCACGTATGTCTGTGTGAGGGTGTCGGATCCCCTGGAACTGGAGTTACAGACAGTTGTGAGCTGCCATGTGGGTGCTGGGAATTGAACCTGAGTCCTCTGGAAGAGCAGCCAGTGCTCTTAACCCCTGAGCCATCTCTCCAGCCCCTACTATTTGAATTTTTTTAATGCTCCCCAGTTGATCCTGGATGCAAACCACTCATTCTTGGATGTGGATTTCTGAAGGGAACTTGAGTACTCCAAGATAAAAAGGTGTAGGTTCTGTCAGATATTCAGAAATGGTTGTGTTGCCATTTCTGAATAGCTGTGCCATGGACCAAACTCAAATCCCTGGTAGTCTGTCCTCTTTTTTTTTTTTTTTTT